TCTACATTTTTCCAGTCAAAGAACATAAACTCCAAAGCAATGCATTATAGGTTTCCAGTAATGGACTGTTTAGCTGGGGTGATGTATCATTTATATTTAGATTTGTAGGATGTAGGTTACTGTTCTTTTACTGCATTTGCTCAAATAAATAAACTGTGGTGTTGAATCTTGAAACTTGTAAGTTGTTGATTGTTGTTTTTGTTGTGAATGTTTATCACATCTGATCAAGAATCAAGATTTTTTAATCAGTTTAATAATCACCGACAATCTTCAGGTTGTATAGCTCTTATAGCTCCCCTTGTAGAGCGTTGGGCGTTCAGCCTACAAAGGTTAAGAAAGTGTGAGTGTGCAACAATGCAGGCGTAGACTGGTTAGTGGGATCCATCAGCAGGCTTTATTTTGACAGGAACAACAGTACAAAACACTCCAAAAGCAGAGTCAGGGCAGAGCAGAGAGTCAGAGGCCAAAAAAGAGAAAGTCAGAGCCAAGGCAGAAAATCCAAAACAAAATCCAAATATCCAGGTCAAAAAACAGCCTAAACAAGTCTAAAAGTCAGAAAAAAAGGGCTCAGGATTGCAGTACACTAACAGTGCTTCACAAAGAGTGGCAAGAGAGCGTATGTATATGGCAGTTGATGAATGGAGATTGAGAACAGGTGTGTGAGAGAGACTGTAAATTCAGGAGATGATGACCTCTAGTGGGCAGACTTGCACATGACAGAGTTACAGCCAGGTCCATCAGGTGCCTCTTCTATAAAAGTAAAGGGCCAAATTGTTTTGTAAATGTTACGCCATTAAAAAAGACAAAGTAGCAGGCAGAATTTAACGTAGGACTGAAAAGAAACAAAACAGCTGGATAGTGCATATTTTCAGTGCTAAGTATATGAACTTAAAGATAAACAGGATAAACACAAACTATTGGGGGGGGGGTCGGTCGGGTCCTCCAAAACTAAAAAAGGTAAATATAACTCAGCTTCTATACGATTTACATTCTTATGCAGAGGAACTTACAAAAGTGCTTTTGAAAATGTCTTCTTAGCTAGTGGTAACAGGCTAGAGTCTAAAAATACCCCTGAACTACAGATACTGCTGAGCAGGTGACATATAGAGCCCACATATAAAAACAATATATTTCAAACATACTTTTCTAAAACATTTTTAGAATATCTGAAAGTCAATATATTTTTTCTTTATGGGAGGAGTCAAAAAGGATTGTTATTGAAACCCATTAGTTTAGATCCTTCTTTCTCAATGAGGAATGTAAAGCCTAAAGTATTTGTTCTCACCAATCAGACCATCTTAAAGTGATTCTAACAGGGAGTTTCCACAAATTTCTCATCCCGGTGCAAATGCGCTTTCTTTAAGCCAAGGTCCAGGTCCCTTGAGGACCCCTGGATAATCTGTGTCCTGTTTATGACTAATTTTGCTTTAATATCCAGGCAACAGCATCCACAAACTGACCACCAATGAAGGACTAGAGGATAACTAACACAAACTGCGCAGCAGCAGGCGACCTATCATTTCTGACTTTACATCTACAAGGTGGACGTGTACATGTGTCTAGATGTGGTAGATGCATCTAATAGAGTGGACAGTGAGTGGACACAGTGTTTGAAAACTCCAGCAGCACTGCTGTGTCTGATCCACTTGCACCAGTGCAACCCATGCCAACACACCACCACCACGTCAGTGTCATTGCAGGGCTGAGGGTGATCCACCACCCAAATAATACCTGCTCGGTGGTGGTCCTGTGGGGGTCCTGACCATTTAAAAACCAGGGTGTAGGGGGGCTAACACAGTATGCAGAGAAACAGATTGACTACAGTCTGTAATTGTAGAACTACAAAGTGTACCTATTTGGTAAGTGGACCTAATGAATTGGACAATGAGTGGAGTTACAAGGTGGGTATACCTATTAAATTGGCCAGTGAGTGTAGTTCTGTTGAATGGATTGACATCTGATGCGCAAGGGTGGTGAGTAACGGAAACTAGGCCACTAAACAAATTACACATGGCGGTGTTTGTTTATTGGTCAGAAATTTTGCAGGAACATCACTCTTACTGTCACATTTACCACCATGAAAATGTGAAAATATGAATAGAAAATAGAGATGCTTAACATTTATGTGTATCACAAAACAAACCAATAAATATAAACTTTACTTGATACCTGCTTCTTTATGATTGGCTTACCAATTTGAATTTAACCATGATGCTTGGCCGAAAATACACTCCGAAATCCAGGTGCTAAATTTAAACGCATATATCCTGTAGTTTTTTGTTCCTCTGCCGTTATTAAGAGCAGCTTGTGCTGCAAGAGCTATATGACAGCCTGTAAAAGAGTAAAATGTTAAAACAGGCAGATTATGTACAGTACAGCGCTGATGTGCACTGAGAAAAACAGCCTCTGGTGTAGAATTCTCTGATTTGGCATGGGCCTTAGTAAAAACACTGGCAGTGAACTCAAGCAGGGGTCACCAGACCATGGGTCAGTTGTTTAGTGCTGACCTGAATGCAGGTGAATTGTTCACACATCAAAATAGATCAAAATAAAGGAAGAGTATTATGGGTCCACACCGAACAAGGTAAGTATGAAAGTGACTTTAGTATTGCAACAGTAAGCAATTCAACTGATATTCAGTAAATTCAAACAGTGACCCAGTGCAAAAGTTAGTGTATCAGTTTGTGTATCCTACACTGTTAGAAATAAAGGTTCAGCACAGGTACATTTTTCATTTATCAAGGTACAAACAATGTAAATGTTCCCTCAAAGGTACAACAGTGGTTTTAACGTCCGATTGTGAACCTTAAATACGTTTTTCCAGGTAAAAAGTTTGTATTTGTACCTTTTTCATAACCGAATGTTTTAAAACAGAACAATAAAATAAAAAGCCTGAAGACGAGACGGGGTGTGTGGAGTCAGTACAGCTTAGAAAATATAATGTCAGTGGATTATGGTACAGTTATGTTCCCTGACTAAAAGTACTGAGATGTACCCTTAAGGGACCACCCCAGTGACAAGAGGGGTACTGCCCCAGTGACAGTTTAGTACCTTTATTTCTGAGAGTGTAGTCTCTAGGACGTATGTTTTTGTTTTGCTTGTTTCTCTCTCATTCTCTCTCTCGCTTATTAGGAACTCACCCACGGGTGCGAGTGATTTGGCTGGAGTCCCGTGATTATGCTTGCATCTGATTGGCTGGCTGCGAGTGCATGGGATATTTCTTTGACAGCTGCGCCTGGTGTCCTCAAGGCTTTCCTCCATGGTGACTTGGGGCGATTATTTTTAAGATGAGAACCGCAGCTCAGCTAGACGTTTGTTTTATGGCTAGTGTACTGTCTCTGTCCTTGTCTCGAATGTAATACCTTAGCTCTACCCATTGTCCTCTGCCCAGTTACTTCTACTCTTTAGCAGTAAGCTCATAATCCTTCCCTGGAACTTTCACTCTTATGCTCACCAGGGTGGAGGAGTGCGTGCCATTTCTTTTGAATCTAACCTTCTCACCTGTTTTTGGTCTAGTTAGGAAGTTAGGGAAGACTCTTTATTTTGGCATAGGTAAGTTAGTTCTCTAAAATACTTAGCTAGCCTGGTTATGTTTGTTGTTTCAGCGTATGCCCACTCTGAAACTGTTCTGTGTTGTGCGTACAAAAGAGCAGCAAAAGAAAAGAACTTGATCTGTTTAAACGTCCATTTGCTTTTGTACTTTTGTCTTTGTTATGACCATCACAAACCCCTACACAGGTCGTAACACTGCTGAATCTGACTCTCTATCTCTATCTCTATGGTCAGTGCTCCATGTTTAATTTGTTTATGATGCAAATGTCCTGAACTCAGTCAGAAAGAGGTGGGTTGTTGCCCCACTACTTTGAATAGTGGTGGGTCAAATACCTGCTCACCCACCATCCACCACTGAGACAGAAAATTCAGGATTAGATTAAACTAGACTGAACTAATTTCAAGTTAGCTGGCTAAACCATAAATCCTGCTTCATGACCCCTGATAAAGGAGCAGTGAAACAAGGGGATTAATTAGACACAATTTAAGACTAGAAACACCTGAGAACGGAGGAGAAACAAACTACAAGCTTGTACTGGGACTAGAGAGGAGACAAAGAAGCAAAACAGTAAAAACACATGGCAGAGACTAGACAGGGAGACAATAACAGCCTTTTATTTTATGCATGTTTCAGTCGCTTGTATGTCGGGGGATTATTGTTCATTTGCATTTGTTCTCTGAAACTTAATGTAAATGAGCATCAATAAAGGAACATAAAACAAACAGAGTTGCACCGGAGTTAGTTTCCTCTATTATCAGACAAATGTAAACTGTAGGAGACACAGAGACTAACAGAATATTTTTCCAGTCAGTAACAGGCGAGAAACACCTTTAACATGGAACATTTGCTCAAAGCGTTTGAACGTATCCTTCTTATATTCCATGAGTAATCTTTAATATGATAATCTACTAAACTAACTCTCCACGAAGAAGTGTAGTTCTTGAAGTAGGTGCTGTATGGCATATATTAATTTAGTTTTTTCTTACTGGTGATTAGAAATCTACAAGAAGACAGCACTTGTATCAGTATTAACATTGTTCCAGCAGTAGGAAAAATGATATTAATGGCAGCAAAAAGTTACCTTTTATTTTCTCTGAATTTGTGGGGTTTCAGATTAATAGTTTCACCTACTTTCAGTTATAAACTGTTGGATCTCTGCATGTGCAGCTTTATCACTTTCAACCACTGCTGTTTCATATCGTATGCCCTAACATTAAAATATCCTAATAATCCACAGACAGTTTTCAATGGGGACCATTTCACATAATGAACAGCTTCTCAGGCAGTGAAAAGGGGCAACACACGACACTGGGTAGACATCTTGATCTCTTCGTAGAAATGTGGAGCCTGTGGGTTTCATTTAAATTGAACTTTTTCTGCCTGTTTACCAAAATGTTTCCTGGTCCTAATTCTTTCTTGGGGTCAGCACATTGATGTCAGAAGTAGGATGGCTCAGGCCTGTCAGAGCAGCTCTGGAGGGACATTGTTCAGATTGTTGCAAGCAAGAAGAAGCAGAAATGGAGCCAAGAAGAAAGCAGAGAACAGCAATTGGCATCAACAGGCCACAGAAGAAGACAGTGACTACCAGGTCATATGTGTGTTGATGTGTCCAGTCAGTGAGTTTGGCCAATATTTTGTCATCAGAAATGCTTAACACTCCCTTCCATTTCCCTCAGGTCAACTTCCATTGATAGCCCTAATACTGAGACAAACAATAACATACCTGCCAAATGTAATGACCTTCTAGAAGTTTTCAGTAAGTCAGAATGCCACTAAATTGCCCCCTTACCGTCAGTGTGACAATGCAATAGATTTAGTTGAGAACCCTACTTTGCCAAAATCTAGAGTGTATCCTTTAACCCAGGAAGAGGAAAAAGCCATTGATACTTGCATACAGGACGTGTTAGCGCAAGGATTTATTAGACCATCCACCTCACCAGCAGCTTCTGGTTTCTTTTTCGTTAAGAAAAAGGATGCAGACTTTTGTCCATGTATAGATTGGCGAGGCCTCAATCAGGTTACCAAAAATTACCCATATCCGCTTCCCCTCATTCCGGTTGCTTGAGAACAACTCCAAGTTGCAAGGTATTTCACGAAATTAGATTTATGGAGCACCTATAATTTAGTATGCATTAGAGAGGGAGATGGAAAACCGCTTTCATCATTGCTAGAGGGCACTGCGAGTACTTGGTCATGCCTTTTGGTCTATCCAATGCTCCGTTAGTATTTCAGGCCTTTATTAATGACATGCTGCAAGATTGTATAGGCAAATACATAACTGCTTATATCGATGACATTCTCATTCATTCCCTTGACCTTGTTACTCATGTTAGTCATGTCTGCTCTGTCTTGAAACATCTTCTGGACAATGATCTGTATGTTAAAGAGGAGAAGTGTGAATTTTATTTGTAGTCTGTGACCTTTTTGGGTTAGATCATCAGTTTTAATGATGTTTTAATGGATGACAAGATTGTAGCAGTAGTGAATTGGCCCAAACCTATATGTCAATTAATGAAAGACAATGGTTTGTGGGATTTGCTAACTTTTATCGCCACTTTATTCGTAATTTCAGTTCCACAGCGGCGCCATTGACAGCCCTTCTGAAGGGCAATCCTCAAACGTTGTCTTAGTCTCCACAAGTAGAGAATGCATTTACCAGGCTCAAGGAGTTGTTCATGTCTGCCCCCGTTTTAAAACAGCCCAACCCATCTGAGCCATTCGTAGTCAAGGTTGACGCGTCTGAGACAGGGGTTGGAGCAGTTTGGTCCCAAAGCTCAGGTACTCCTCTAAGTTGCACCCTATTGATTTTTATTCTCACAAACTCTCCAATGAAATTATTGGATTGAGGACCAACAGCTTCTAGCATTTAAACTTCGATTAGAGGAGTGGATGCCTGGAAGGGGCTAATCACCCCTTCACCGTTCTAACCGATCATAAAAACCTGGAATACCTGCGCAATGCTAAGCGTCTAAATCCTTATTAAGCACATTGGTCGTTATTCTTTTCTAGATTTACATTTAACATATCATCCTGGGCCACGTAGCAACAAAGCAAAAGCACTTTCTATAATTCATCAAGAAATGGACGAAGGTGACCAAGAGCAAGAACTAGAGAACATTCTACCTTCACACATTCAGATTTCGTCAATTCCCTTGGCCATTGACGAGGAAATATAAACAACTTTAGGGAATACCCCCATCCCCAAACACTGTCCACTGGAGAGAATTTACATTCCTGAAGAATATAGAGACAAACTGATAATCCATTATAGATATTGGTGGGAGTCAATGAATAAACATTCAAAAATTCATATCCTCTTGCTCTGTATGCTCACAATGTAAGACCCCGAAGACGTTACCATCCGGTAAACTGATGCCATTACCCATATCAAATAGACCCTGATCACATTTAGTGTTAGACTTTGTTACTGACCTACCTAACTCACAGGGCTTCACCACCATACTCACTATTATTGATTGATTCTCCCGTAGTGTACGCTTTATTCCATTTCCCTCTTTGCCCACCACATTTCAGACAGCAGAGACTTTGGTTAATCAGGTTTTCTGTTGTTTTGGCATCCCTGAAGATATTCTTTCCGATAGCGGACCCCAGTTCATGTCACAAGTTTGGTCAGCATTCTTTGACCATTTAGGAGTATCAGTGAGCTTGACTTTTGGGCATTAGACACAGTCTAATGGACAATGCGAGCAGGTGAACCAAGATTTAGGAAAGAGACTTTATTGCCATAATAATCATAATGATTGGGTGAGATATTTAACCTGGGCAGAGATGGCACAGAACTCATTAATAAGCTCAGCTACTGGACTGACACCGTACTAATGTGTTCTGGGTTATTAGCCTCCTGTAGCTCCTAGGACAGGTGTCTCCTCTGATGTTTCATGAGATGAGTGGATGAACGAGTCTGGGAGGAGACTTAGAGAATAGAGGATGCGCTGCAATGAAACAAAAACCAAGCAAATCGATGCCAAGGAGAGAACCCCTCCTACCAACCTGGAGACTGGGTTTGGCTCTTGACCAGGGGCTTCAGGTTTGCAGAGGGGAGTAGGAAATTAAGTCCTAAGTATATTGGCCCATTTAAAATTCTTAAAAATCAATGATTTCACTTACAAACTTGATTTGTTGCTTCAATATCGTGTGTCCTGTTCTTTCCATGTCTCCCTTCTCAAATTTGTGGTTTCAGGTCTGCTGAACGAGGCGTCGTCTGACGACACCGGCTTCAGTTCTAACTTAAACTTTAATTGAACCCCTCCACCTTCTTCAGTCCACCAGCAATTGGCCATGCATTGACCAAACAAGTAAATGAGTATTTTATTACTGGATATGTTGGTTGGTTTTCACTGCTTATAAGACCAATGGCTATCGCTGATTTGAGATGATCCTCCACCTTCCCAAATATTTAAAGATCTAATTAACCACATAAAGCTGGTAAAACCCACATAGAGCTGGCAGAAGGAAAGCACATGGAAGGCCTTTCTCCCCTCCCTAAGAGCACAAACGTTACTACTGATGTTAAGAAGCTAAACAGAAAACATGATATTCTGAAGAAATACTATCCATATGATAACCAGGAGTCAGTTCTAATTATATGTACATCATATTACATCCTTTATTTGAGAAATTAACTGCATCTTATTCACTGACAGTGTAGAGTGAAAATGGGGAGAGGACAAAAACAGACTGAGAAACTTTGGGTGAGTTTCTAGGGATGAGCATATATGAGTATGGAAATCAATATTAATCACAGTCTGAGTATTTAAACCTGGATTCATCACAGCATGAGTATCTTATTCTGGATTAATCACAGCCTGAGTATATAACCCTGGATTAATCACAATGAGTATTTAAACATTAATTAATCACAGTATATATCTAAAATGTCTTTGTTTTTAAATTATTTTTTCTTTTCTTTTATTACACATAACTGTTGGAGTGTGGGGACCTCCAAAAAATTTCATGCCCAGAGGCCTCGGCAGCCCATGATCTGTCCCTGCTGAGGACCTAACGTAAAATGAGTTTGCCTTAATTAGGCGCTCAGGACCCATCATAAACTTTTTTGGTGGGTTAACTGCAAAAATGTACTCATGAACTCTTGTTGTTAGTAGTTTCTCTCTTTGTCAGTGATCCACAAAAAAGTGCTTGAAAGGTAACTGTGGAGAAACTTCAACCTGCTAAACATGTGTGAGTGAGTTACAGGTCAGGTCAATGAGGCCCTTGGCATTTAAAAATGTCTGTTTTTTGCTTTTTTAATTGCATACGATTACTATGAGAGAACAGTTTTGCCTAATTTAGTGTTTATCTTTGTGTATCTTTAATTGTGATGACCAGCATACTCCCTCAAAATGCACAGACTTCACCAACATAACGCTGCTGTTAAAAGAAAACCTCCAAATCTCCAATTTTTAATTTTTCAGTTTTTCATGAAGAATTTTTCAATGTCATGAAGAATGGACCAAAAGAAACAGCCCAAAATGACTCAGAAAAAAGTCTGGTTCCATTGACTTACATTGAAAGTAAAGTAGGTTTTTTTCCTTCTCCTTTAAAAGTTATCACTTTTGAGATATGAGGTTTTCTTCCAACAACAGCAATAATTATAAAAGAGGATTGGTTCATTACTATTATTATTATTATTATTATTATTATTATTATTATTATTATTATTATTATTGGTTTATTTATACATGTCTTTTTACTTGTGCCTATGCTTTAGTTAGCCTCTGACAGTGGTTGCTTTTGCTTGAGTGTTTATTTAAATCCACTTGTGTGACAACAGCAGCAATGGAGTCTTTGCAGTGTTTCATTAAAATATAAGCACCTCATGACTGCGTTAATAGGACACCATTCTAATCTTGGGACTAGACTATTGAAAGTCATGGGTGGAGGGGGGAATATGGCATAAGCATTTATAAAATACACTGAACAAATGAATGGAAACATTGTTTTATATATATATATATATATATATATATATATATATATATATATGGTTAAATTGTGTTATTACAAGAACTGTACATACTCTAATCAATGTTTGCTGAATGTATGAATTAGGAATCAGCTTTTCTTTCTGTGAAGAATTTGTGTAAGTGAGTTCCTGCTTATCTGTAATGGGTTTTATTCACCAGTTTAGGTGGGAATTTGCTGCTTAAATCCAGTTCAGCTAGGAGGGAAAATATAGGCTCTGTTACTGGCTCTGCAATGAAGTACCCATACTTTGTTGGTGAGCTGGACAAAAAGGGCACTGGACGTACTGGACAATTTTGTTTGTTTGTTTGTTTGTCCATGTAAGCCCATGGGTTTGCACATGTGTTTCTTTCCTTTCAAGAGTAACAAAGTAAAAAGTGTGTTTCATGTCGCCTCCCTTAGCTACTCAATGACCACACAACGACATTTTTTCTGTATTTCTCTTTATTTCCAACAAACTAAGTGGCCCAGCAGTGTGAACTGCTTTCTTGACGAAAGCTATGTGAGAGTGCTGTTTCTTGTTTAAACTCCACTTTTCCAGCGATTAATTTCAGAAAATGTGATTCCTTTTTGATGGTTGATGTGTTTTTGTTTTATTTTTTTTATGTATGAAGCTATTATGTGTCCACATTCATTTGCATTTATTTAGTAAGCCATCATGCAAATCATCCCTGAAACATTTGGAGAAGTACAAAACAAAAAAAGAGCTCTTCTGGCTTTAGCTTGCTCTTCAGTTTCACTCTCATCCAGACACTAACAGAGCAACTTTACCAGCAGCAACAGGTAAGAAACACCTTTAAGACTCTAATCTCCATTACTGAGCTTTAACTTAATGTCAAAGGGATAGAAGCTGTTTTTATTTACAGTTAAGAAAACAGGCTCCATTTTGTACATAAATATACTTTTATCTTCTGTTACATTTTTCTAAAGCAAAGTGCCTGGAAAAAGTGTCAAGGAGAAATTGCTAAACTTAGTGTTGATTTACTGAACAGGCATTAAGTCTAGTACCGGTCTACACAGAATTTTGAATAGGCTTAATCCCTGTCTGAAAAACTGATCCATACATTCATGCTTTTCTTACGCACCATCATAACTTCAAAAAAAGACAGCAGTCACTTTTAGCTCACAGGAACAGTGATATTAAAAACAGACCAAACTGACCAGCTGATACTGTATATACTGTACTGTATGTTATACATACACATTTCTCAGTTTAGTTTTTCTGAGTCTCTTTATACTCCAGATTAACAGGTTTATTCATGTTCAGCTAAAACACCGCTGCTCTCTGAATGTGCTCCATGTTGCAGTTTCTGACGTTAAGCTGCTGTGGGTCATAATTTACATCCTACTTGAAAGAATGTTTATAGTTATTGCTGAAATGACATCATCTGGGACTTCTTTTCTACCTTGACCAAAACCCAGTACAACACTGAGCGCCTCATCTTTACTTTAGATACAGTCTCTCATTCTTCTCTCAGGCTCTGAAACATTGTCACTGTAGTTCTTTCCTTGTCTTCTCTTCCTGTCTATTAGTTCTAATCTTTTTTGACTTTTAATATATGCAGGTTTAATTAGTTTCTGCATAAGCATCCAGCCTCTGAAGCTACAATACATTGGGCCTCATTCACCAACTGTTCTTAAGAAGAAGATTCTGAAATGTACCGGTTTTTTCTTATTTTTGATCTTAGGTAAGAACAGAATCTACACACACTCATGTCTGCATGTTTGTGTTTTCCTTCTGATTCTTTAAGAACCTCCACAGGCATTTTTAAACTCATTTTTCAAAGCTAAAACAGCCCATGTTTAAGTGTTTTATTTTTTGCTTTTAAAATTCTAAAATGTGTCAATCTGTTTCCTTAAATGTTAATTCCACAAATTTTTCAACATTCCTGCATAACTCAATTGTTAGGATGTAAACAAACTCATTCAGAGTGATGATGTGAAAAGCTTATATAGAGAAACTGGCCGAGTCGATTTTTTTTTTACAGTGCTTATAGAGAACCAGACACCTGAAGCAGAGAAAACCAAAGACGTACCTAAAGAATTTTTTCTCCCCATATTTACATCCTCTTTATCATTATCAGCAATACATGCTGCTGTCGGAAGAAAACCTTGTATCTCCATTTTTGTTGTTTTTTAGTTTTTGACAATTTGATAATTGCCCTTTATATTGTGTGTAAATTTCATGAAGAATGAACCAACAGAAACGGCCCAAAATGACTTGGAAAAAGTCTGGTTCTATTGACACACATTAAAAGTAAAGTAGGTTTTTTCCTTCTCCTGTAAAGTTACCATTTTGGAGATATGAGGTCTTCTTCCAACAACAGCAATATAAACCTCAGAAGACACGTGCAGGTTCACTGGTGGTTTTGGATAGTAAATAAAATGGCTATTTTTGTGTTGTACATATGCTGACCCCTGGTTCCTATCACCACCACTGTAAAGAAACCGTACACATGAACCACTTTACATCAAACCATTTTGAATTACTCCATTTCAACAATTTAATTGTATTTTTAAAAATTGCTGGAATTCCTCTTCAGCTACAGAAAATTCCACCCTGGAGCTTCTCTGTCCTTCTTGAGTTTCAGATTCTGATGCTACACGTAATTTCGCTTAAACAGCATGATCTAATGTGCTGGATTTCCATTTAGAGCTTTAGAAAATTTCATGCTGAAACCTCTCTGTTCGTTTCAAACTGATTGTGTTACTGTAAACTAAATGTACTGTCACTTAAACAGCATGATCTGATGTGCTGGTAGTAAAGACTGTTGAGGTGTTTAATGTGTGAATTGTGTCTCTCTTGTTCTCCACAGTCATGAGTTCAGCTCTGTATCTGATCCTGCTTTTCTCAGGTCAGTGTAGCTTCATGATCATCTGTAAAACTCTCTGCTGCTTCATTACTGTACTGTCATGCTGATGAGAGCTTTCATCTCTACAGCTCTGTGGACTCTCTCCTTCTGCGGGATTCGTCAGTTTCATTTGGTGAATGAAAATAAGAACTGGACCGACGCTCAGAAACACTGCAGAGAGAAATTCACTGACCTGGCCACCATTGAGAGCCAAGAGGAAATGGACACTGTAAAAGCTGTTCTCAATGGGAAAACTGGCAATTTCTGGATCGGACTGAAGTTGAACGATGAACACGACAACACTGTAAGAAATCATGTACATTTAGATTAATTCACATTCAGAAGGCGAGTGACTAATAAAACTGGGTGCAGCTTTTAAAAATGATTTATCAGTAACCGTTAGACCCAAACTCTGCAGCAATTGCAGGTGTTCACGAGTCACTACACCTGCTGCTTTTTATATCTGTTTTATGTATACATTGTGTAAGTTCCCTATTTGCTTTGGATTTATAAGCATCTTTTTCAAAAATACCTTATTTTCGCTGAAAACATTTAAAAACACATTCAGTTTCAATCTCCTGAAAACCACCTTAATGTCCTCATGTGGCTGTGATGAGTTTATCTGGTGTGGTAATGAGCACTGAGAGGTCAGCGTTTAAACAGTTTACTGGTCAGGTATTAATGTGTTTCTAGAGCTGGATCTGGTCAGATGGGAGTAACTCCTCATACAGATACTGGATCACTGGAGAGCCAAACTTCGGTCCTCGTGAAATGTGTGTGGAGTTACGGCATGACTCTGCATACAAGTGGAATGATGTAGACTGCCACAAACATACAAATGAATTTATCTGCTATGCAAGTGAGTAACATGATAAATGCAGTTAATCTGATACAGGTTCAGTTCATTCACTTTTAACCTCTTATTACCTCTCAGTAACCACTTATTACAGTAACGATCAATTATACTCATATGCAAAAGTTTGAACGCCCCCAGCCAAATGACTAATTTTCTAAGTGAATATAGCTTAACATCCTCTACAGGGAACACACTTAAATATGACATTCCCTGCAAATTTTGGTGCACAATGTATTTCCATCTATTTGAGTTTTACATATTGGAAAAAAACAAACAAACTGTAAAATGTGCCATAATTTTTAAACAGGCCAAATTTTGTTTTATTTCATCCAAATTGTAAATAAACACTAATTGTGCATTAACATGTGCAGAAGTACGTTCTCTGTAGAATCTGTTCTCTGTGAACTTCTTGTCACTCACACGATAAACAAAACGTCATTTAACCAGGGGTGCACAAACTTCTGCATATAACTGTACTGATGTGAGGCTGCAGCTACTTAACAATGTGATACAATGGCAATAAACCCCCAGATGTACAAGAAAAGCTTTGGTTAATGTGACCATAACATTTGTTTTAAAATGTACAATAATACTCTAATGAATGTACAGTGAATGTACAGTAAATGTACAGTAATAATCTAATGAATGTTTTAAAAAGTGAGTGACCATTTTTTAAAAATTAAAACTTACTTTAAATGTGAGTTTAAAGTAAAGTGAATAATAGTGAATAATAATGCTGGGGCAGCTTTGAAGAAATATATTATAGATGTGGTTCAGGTCCAAAAAACCTAATTCCAAAAAAGTTGGGACAGCAGGTCAAAATTCAGATAAAAACAGAGCGAATTGATGTATAGATTCACATCATATTAAAATCTTAAACACGTGATGAGCGTATCATTACTATCCAACATGGTAACTTTACAAGAGAAAGCAAAAATGTTCTTAACTTTTGATGCAAGTTAATGTAAAGAGGTTTTATGGAAAATGATTTTGAAACATTTCTATAGATCCATTCATGAAATTTTCCCATAATATAAAGAACAGCTGAAGTGTTCAAATAATGCAGAAAAGAAAGAAATTGGCAAACATGGAGGTACATATTTTACTTTGAACAGCAACAATATGTTTACAAAAAAAACTGATAAGGCAAAAAGGTGTTCTGTACTATTTTCAGTTTAATACAGGTCAGACAAAATTCACTGCTTTCTGTTTTCTTTAGCATTTCTCGTATTGTCCCAACTTTTTTGGAATTGGGTTTGTACAACTAACAAGGTTCATAGATACCTGTACAACAGTTAATAAAGGATACTCCCTTCTTTCATTCACATAACTAATTTCTATTAAGGTGTGACAGATGGGACCAAAGTGCAACGCCTTCTTCTGCAGTGCAGTCTTTTATACAAATAACAACACAACACATCAAAGCCCAAAGCACTGCAGTGCATGTTCCCTGTGCACTCTCTCATTCTCAGACTTGAATGCAGTTTTACTTGGGTGAAGGAATAAATTCACTAATATCAACATAGCCATCATGGTATTGATGCATGTATTTTCATGAGTTTATTACCAGATCAATATTTTGAACTTAGCTATAGACTCAGGGCCAGATCATCATGTTAGTGGCTTTAAGCATAGAAGCCTGACATTAAGCATGGAAGCAGACAGTTCACAGATCACTACCGACAAGGATTAACTTTTTTCTTTGACTTGGGTGGCTGACATTATATATTTGGACGTTTACTCTGTCGAAGTATCAGGTCTTGCCTTCAAAGATCCCCCAGGCACATCTTGTGAATATCTGGAGCTTCAAATTCAATGTACATTTACAAAATAACTCAAAGCTGAAAAAAAAATAAGTACTAAAAAACCTACCTTGCCCACGGTAATGGCAAACAGTGGAACGGTTGCTAAGCAGTGATTGGAAGAGAAAATGAAGTGGACATTTAGGAAAGAAGCAGAGGGTCAAAACTATGATCAGCTGTATCATAATGACAGGGTTGAAATTAGTTCCTTTTTCCACTGCGCTGATAGTAAAGATCCCACGGCAAGTCAAAACAGATTAGAGTTCGTAATAATTGCTCACGGGGCCCCCTTGTGGCTCACTCCCCTGATCTCGCATCCATAAACCCATGTGCCCTCTGTAGAGTACAGCGCAAACAGGCCCTCTAGATTTTGTGTTATAAGTGTTTGGACTGACTGGCCAATTGTGTTTGTAGCTGACTTGGATTTTTAATGCAAATATTTTTTAGTTCTTCGTTCTGACCCTCCTGCAGAGATTCCACTCATCCTGATTAAAGAGCAGAAGACGTGGAGAGAAGCTTTGAGATACTGCAGAGAGAATCATGTGGATCTGGTCTCTGTTCACACTGAGGAAATTCAGAAATGGGTGGAAACAGCTGTTGATTATGCCTCCACTGCTAATGTGTGGATGGGTCTGCGTCACACCTGTGCTCAGAACTTCTGGTTCTGGGTGAGTGGATCGACTATGTGCTACCAGAACTGGGCTCCGGGGAACGGGACAGGGGTGGAAGACTGCAGTGGAGGAGAAAGATCAGGAGCAGTGCAGTCTAGAAGTAAGCAGTGGGTCAGTCTGCCAGAGGATCAGAGACTCAACTTCATCTGCACTGTTGAGGGTGAGACAGAGGATTATGCATCTGTTCATAGCAAAATACTGACTAGAAACAATACTGATTGATCTTTTTTGCTTCTTTTTAGAGCTCTAGAAGACGACACAGGCTGTTCAACTGGATCCTCATAGTTCAGGATATTTGACAGCCATTTTCTCATCAACATGCATATATAGCCTTTGACACACAAATACAATAATCCAGCTTAATGAAACAAATATCCACATATTACTGAGACAACCAGTCCTTCTTAAGATTAAGAGACCCTTATTAGTCCCACAACGGGGAAATTTCACCTCCGCATTCTAACCCATCCATGCAGTGGGACACCACATACACACTAGTGAGCACACACACATTAGGGGGCAGTGAGCACACTTGCCCAGAGCGGTGGGCAGCCCTATCCATAGCGCCCAGAGAGCAGTTGGGGCTTAGGTGCCTTGCTCAAGGGTACCTCAGTCATGTACTGTCAGCTCAGGGGATCAAATTGGCAACATTCCTGTTGCAAGGCTGGTTCCCTAACCTCCAGCCCACGACTGCCCCCTTGTCAATAACAAAAGGCTTTAGAAATACTAATCAAACTCATGAGACTGTTAATGCTAGGCCTGAGTAAATGCTGATGCACACATGCAGCTTTTGGGTGTTCTAGATGTAAAAACACACAAATGTGCAGCTTGTAGATGTTCCATATTTGTTATAGTCTTTGCATAGCCCTGTTTTGGTTGCTGTCTTATAACCACACTTACAAACTCTGATTATATCTTGCTGTAATGACCTGTGTCTGGTAGTGGCAGTGAGCACCACTTTGATGTATGTTTGGCTGTTTAATTAGCCAGCAAGTCTAGGAGTGTTTATTACCTGCTGTTCACATGAAGAGCAGCTGAAATGATCAGCATCCTGCTGGGTCAGTTGGTTAGCTGTCCACTGTGTGCACTGCTGCAGTGATTGGTTGACTCCCCTGTCATTTTTTGATTGTTAGTAATTAATCTAATGTGTAAGGCTTTCAGTTCATCTCCTGAAGTCCTAATAGGAGCTAATAGCTCACACAGCTGTATCTATAATCTGTCAAGACTTTAAGGCTTTTGTTTCCAACTACTGTAAAACTTCACAATGAAATAAGATCATTACTACAGCATTTACACTGATCAGGCATAACATTATGACCACCTCTTTGTTTCTATGCTCATTGTCCATTTTATCAGCTCCACTTACTATATAGGTGCACTTTGTAGTTCTACAGTTACAGACTGTAGTCCATCTGTTTCTCTGCATACTTTGTTAGCCCCCTTTTACCCTGTTCTTCAGTGGTCAGGAACCCCATGGACCCTCACAGAGCAGGTACTATTTGGGTGGTGGATCATTCTCAGCACTGCAGTAACACTGACATGGTGGTGGTGTGTTAGTGTGTGTTGTGCTGGTCTGAGTAGATCAGACACAGCAGTGCTGCTGGAGTTTTTTAACACCTCAGTGTCACTGCTGGACTGAGAATAGTCCACCAACCAAAAATATCCAGCCAACAGCGTCCTGTGGGCAGCGTCCTGTGACCGCTGATGAAGGACTAGAGAATGACCAACACAAACTGTGCAGCGGCAGATGAGCTATCGTCTCTGACTTTACATCTACAAGGTGGACTGACAAGGTAGGAGTGTCTAATAGAGTGGACAGTGAGTGGACACAGTGTTAAAAAAACTCCAGCAGCACTGCTGTGCCTGATCCACTCATACCAGCACAACACACACTAACATACCACCACCTCGTCAGTGTTACTGCAGTGCTGAGAATGATCCACCACCCAAATAGTACCTGCTCTGTGAGGGTCCATGGGGTTCCTGACCACTGAAGAACAGGGTAAAAGTGGGCTAACAAAGTATGCAGAGAAACAGATGGACTACAGTCTGTAACTGTAGAACTACAAAGTGCACCTATATAGTAAGTGGAGCAGATAAAATGGACAATGAGCGCAGAAACAAGGAGGTGGTCATAAATGGTATGCCTGATTGGTGTATATCCACTGTATTTGATATTTGTCATTCAAAACCTGCTTTACTTTGTATTACTAATTACTCTAAATATTTCTATTGTGTATGCAAACAAACGTTCTTAAAGTGTCTGTATGTTTTACAAAAAGCTTAAGAAGTAAATAATTTTATTCAATTATTTTCCTTATAGGCTGTATCTAAAGTGAATGAGTAGAGCAGACAGTGAAAGTTCTCCAAATGCAATATGTTGTCTTTAATTGGGGAAATTCTTCTCTGTATTGTGTAGCTGGTTTGATGCATCATTTATATTTCTGATGTGTAGGTTACTGTTATTTTACTGTACTGGTATAGACTCCTGTAAGGTTTGTTGTGAATGCTCTCAATAAATAAACGCTCTGTGTTCTTCTAAATACTCACATTGAATGATTTCATTTTCTGCCATTTAAAATGTTACAATGTTTTGAGCACATCTCAAACATCTGTTTCAATGATCAAAGTCAACATCATGGAACAAGTTTTGCTTGTGTCTTTGTGGATCTGTTAGTCGATGCTTTGTAACCCCTACATTCATACCTGAACTCTGTGCACATTCAGTTTTAAATAGGCTAAATATGCTGTATTTCCCCCTTTATATTAAAGTGAGATCTTGATAATTGAATTGTGGCTATTTATTTACGACTCAGATTTACAGCATGCAGATATTTTTACCAAAAGGCTAGACAAGCCCATTATTACCTATTATTGAAGATAAATAGGTTTGTAATCCTACATCCTCCATGATGTCCGTTTTAATGATGCAGAAAGTGAAAGAGCTTCAGGTTTATGGAGTTAATTTTGTGACAGAAGTTTCAAATAATATTATAAAATTGCTAAGCAAAATATTGAGTTTCAAAATGTCCTTAATGCCTTGCAAATACAAATAATGAGAGTCATTTGCTGATTTAGCCAATATTTTTGCTTTTGGAGTTGTTCCAAACATTATGCTGTAATGTGTGAAGTAGAAGCTCCTTAATAATAAAAACCCCAGAGTGGATTCACTGTATAATAATAATAATAATGATAATAATAATAATAAATTTCATTACAACTCAATGTTTGATATTTATTGGACAAAAAAGTTATTTACCAACAAAAGCAGGCAATCACAACACATTATTACACAAAGGTTTTAATTTTACTTTTTTTTTTATTTACAATGTTGATTTTTAATGAATTTCTCATTTTCATTCATGTCTTTATAATTTATAATGTTATTATCTATTAATGAATCTATTAATTTCATTCATTTGGCTTTATTTCAAAGCCATTTTTTTCAACAACAAATTATTATTATTATTATTATTATTATTATTATTATTATTAACTTTACACTAATCATTACATACTATATAATAATTTTTTAGTTGAGGCTGTTTGTTTTCACTGTGTTGTCTTTCTCTTGCTAAGTTGTTCTGTTCTCTAGTTCTACAATATATTTAATACAACCAACTAATGGAGGAAGCTGTGACTAAATTCTGGCGTATGGTGAAAGTGTACTGTGGTGCTGAATGGTTGTGATGATTTATGCTCCTGTAAACACGTTCACAGATTGCTGCTGGGCAGATCCTACAAACAGTTAGTTTGTGCTTCATGCTTGAGCTCTGCATCATTAAGGCATCTGTGCAGTCTCGCCTTCCCACCAACCACCGCATAAGAAGCCGATCAGGCATGACACGACTGACCTCAGCTGGCCCCCACTGAAAACAGCAGGATGACCAGGTCCAGTTTAGATACACTGTCAGTGGGTCCAAGAGATCTACTTTCCTATAGAGTGAAGTTCCAACCACAATCAGCCACACCTGCTTCACTTCAGCTTTTTCAGACATCCATGATTGGCTGGATCAGATGTATTAGTGTTAGGTAAAGGGGGCAGCATGTTAGATACATGTTGGAGCTAAACTCTGCAGAAAGTAGTAAATTTGGTGACCAATGCGCTGAATCATGCAGTTCTATAGCGTCTAAATTGAGACTGTGAATCATTTTTAGATTAAGCGACCCTTATTAGTCCCACAACGGGAAAACTTCACCTCCGCATTTAACCCAGCCGAACAGTGAAACACCACATACACACTAGTGAGCACACACACACTAGGGGGCAGTGAGCACACCTGCCCGGAGTGGTGGGCAGCCCTATCCACAGCACCCAGGGAGCAGTTGGGGGTTGGGAACCTTGCTCAAGGGCATCTCAGTCACGTACTGTCGGCTCCAGGGATCGAACCGGTGACCTTGCGGTCACATGGCGGGTTCCCTAACCTCCAGCCCACAACTGCCCTCATTTTGAAACCTAAACAGAAAAAAGTCTCCCATCCAAAAATGAAGACACAGTTAAAGTAACAAAACTAACTAACGACCAAATTGAGAATGAGCTCCAGTGGTTGGAGTGGGTCATGTAATAGAAGTAAACAAATGTGAAACTTCTTTTTTTTTTTGGAATGTAATAAAACATAAATAAAAAAATAAAGTGAGAGGCAACACATTTCCAAAATAACAATGAGAAATTCCCAAAAAATGGAAACATCATGAACAAAATAAACAAAACCAATGCATGAACAAAAATTTGTTGAAAGAAAGACTCAAAGCTGGTACATAAAATCTCATTGATGCCTTTCGAAGCTCAACCCTGATTGGTCTAAGAGCTGTTTATGGTCTGAAATTCCAAACTTTACCTACCCTGGAGCAGATCTGGTGTGCAAATGAATTGCCATGCAGTGTATCCCTGTAAAAAGTGGTCCACCATTGTGAGACAGAAAAGAAAGACTCAAAACTGGTACATAAAATCTCATTGATGCCTTTCATGGCATGGCTGTGCACTGCAAAGATACCACAGTCAGAATCAGAGACAAGAGCTTTGAAGCCATGCCTACAGTCATGTTGATTGATGTGGATGGAGAAGCTGTGGAAAAATCTATGAAAGTATTGCCAGGACAGACATCTGAACCAGGCTCAACTCTAAAACTTGTTAAATAAAATATGTGACATCGCTGAGTAGCAGGTTCACAGAGTGGAACCCAAACATACGGTAACACAGGATAAATGATGTGGAGAAACACATATTGGGTTAATTTTAAGACCAGGAGTCAGTCTGACAGAGCAGGATCAACAGAGACAGGGTTCCTGACTAAGTTTTAACAAAACAAATCAAATAGCAGTTAATTCTTTTTACAAAGTTAACTTCTTCTGTTAACCCAGGTCTAAATACTCA